ATACTATCTACTGCATTTATTTTTGAAAGACACTTAAGAACTTTTCTCAACCTTGACTCTACTTGTGCTTATTTATATATTCCGCTTTTGCATGAATGGGTCGTAATATTAATCTATAAACTCTACTATGTCTTCTTTTTAAGAACGACCACTTTGTTACTGCTGTGAGACCTTCCGGGACGCAGCGTGGGCTGATTTTACGTGGCAGATATTTTCTTATAAAATTCATGAAATTTCATGAGTTGCTGAATCTACCGTATCTACCCGACTGTAAACTGCGGTTGTAGACCAAGTAACTTCCCTACAGGAAGAACCGCCACTAATATTGTATTAAATTAAAGCGGCGGAAAACAATTAAACTCCGGCATCCGTGCGCTGACAGTGCCATGCCGGGCCACACCGGCAACACCACAGCGTGTTGTCGGTCGCATGGGAGGATCGATAAATTTTCGGGCGAGGCCCTGGACTGCCGCCGGCGTCAGCATGTTTAGGGTGTTTTAGCGCGCGTCGGAGATTCCGTTGACGGACTCGCCACCCCACCCCCCAAACCACGCCCGTGGTGCGTTGAGCCAACTTTCGAAGATGATCGCGAAAAGGGTGAATGCATATTTCATCCAGCACAAGCAGAACCCTAAGTGGGATTTTGGCAAGCTAGGCACGGATACAGTCGAGGCTGTCTGACTGCTTTGGACACTGCCTCGTTGAAGGCATGCTGGCCCACAAAATAGGCTATCATTTTGGCTAACCGCCAGGGCTATTTCGCTTGCCACAGTGGGAGGTAGCTGCCGTGCAAGCCGCGTTAAAATCTGGTGTAGCATCTGACGTTTTTATTCTTCAGCACTTAGTCAAGATTTTCGTAATTGTTTCTAATCGTGTCTGAATAACAATTGAGAAACCGATGCTTTACGCTTAATTGCTTTTTCTTCAAATCTTTGAAAGGAGAGCGTAGCCCCACGGCTCCAGCACAAGACACTTGCAGCGCTTCCTTACATACGCGCAGGACCGTACGAATCTACTGGCAGAACTCAGTGAGCCGTTAGTTGTGTAACCTATTAACCAATCAAGAAATATAATTAATATGCATATGGTACAAATTTGACTCTCAGGTGTTTGATGATACTTAAACTGTGCTTCCCAGAGAATGCGAAGCGTTCATCAATCGAAGCCTCTCTTCTTCCTGGTAATTGGTTGTGCAGGGTAACTAAATTGATCATAGTAAAGAACTAGTCGGCCCACTTAGTTTTGAATGTATAAAAAATTTCACAAAACAATGGCCCCATTTTGGAGGGCCGTTGTTTACCTCCAATACACATAATATTTCGTGTACCAAAGGTCGACGATGACAACTAATCTAAAAGGGGCATTCTCATGTCCCTGCTCTGCGTCCGTAAAGGAATATTCATTTTAAGTCACCAATAAAAAAATATACATCATGAGATAGGCACGGAGTAACCAACGCTATAGACCAATGTCGTCGCCTCGACACAGGCTGTAAGATCGGATAGACTGATCCGCAGCGAAGTTGTATTATTATCCTTCCCATTTTAGGTTGAATAATCGCGAGAAGAGGAATGTAATGATAAAATAAGATTCCCCGTTTACCGTCTGGGGCAGACTTTCAGTTTCTGCTAGCACTCTAGAAGACCCTCAACAATGGGAAAAACAGTACCGATTAATATTTGTGAATCCAAGAGGGTACACTTGAAAAATGCTACACCGATGAGCAGAATAAGTCACCAATCGATATAATAAGCCCATCAATGATGCGAATCGCCGTAAGCTCCCAAATGCGTGCACAAATTTGGCTTTCTATTTGGTGCGATTTCCGTGAATCTTCAAGCCTCTTTCTTGCTACTAATTTTTGTACGCCGATTCACAATGGTATTTTGGCCGTTTGACTTTTTTGGATTCTACTTTAATAGTATATGTGTGTTAGCGGAAAGCTGGTGGCCTACTGTTCAGAATATGCTGGTTTGTTTGAGGGTATTGTTTGGCGTGCCTTATCACTGGAGAGAATACAATGATATCATTATAACGTAGGGGCTTGGGTGGGGTTGGGCTTCCTGATAGTTTTTAGCAAACTTTCTACCAATCCAGTTTGATGTAGGAAACATCAAGTTTTACTCCATCATCTGTTATTCCGCTAGAAGCAAAAACATTCAAGTTAGTCACAAAGAAGGGGATACTGCCCCTGGAACATTGAATTCATTAGTCCGGCGTTCCGAATTCTACTAGAATCCATCATCAGAAACAAAAGCAGACTTACATTCAAGTTTCAGAAGCCAAAATTCGCGCTAGAGACGACAACAACCTGAGCCGAGAACTACCCGAGTCATGGTTTTCCGGTCCTCAGTCAATCAGCAAAGGCAAAGAACTCCCGGCGCCATCTTCGGTGCTGAGAATTTACTTATACAAAGCACTTAGCTACGCGGAGAGCGTGCGGATGACCACTGTACAAGTGTCGGCGTACCAAATTGCCCAAGTGCCCACGCGGAGGACGAAAACCCCACCATTGGCAAATCGACTGCAAGCAATCATCACACCTTATGCAGTCACGTGCGATGAGACTGGGAGCCGATAATTTTGGCAGCCACGCACGGGCATAGCAACGGCATGGCAACTACATGTAGCCAGTCCGTCAATTATCGCGCCACGTGCAACTATCCCCAATGCAGCTGGGGGCTGCTAGTTATGACAGGCATGAAGTGGCCTAGGCACTACAACACCTGGACAATCCAATGCCTTTAGGTGACTATGTCTCTGGCAGTGAGTTAGAGGGATAATCCGAAAAGCCAGGCTAATAAAGCTCTTATTCCAGCGACCGCGTCTCCTCCGCGACTACTTGCTAGAACTTGTCTCTTCTTTTTTGGCATTCAATGTCAGCAATTTGGACAGATTTCGGACCGATCTGAAAATGAACTGTGTTTTAAGATTATTCGTTGTAGAATAGATTTAAAGGTGCCGGGAAATGGCGTGGCACTGAAAAGCCCTAGTGTTGGAAGCGTGGAAATTTTTGGTCGTAATCTACACCACCAGGATGAATTGACGGTCATACTGCGAGCTTTACTGTGCGGGCTTGCCCAGCCAAAATACAGCGCACATCTCTGATGCCATCCAGCTGTGCCCAGGACAACGACCATATTCTGGTAACCGCTTTCGATGGGGATGATAGGTGCAGTCGAAATCTCTCCCCAGCCGACAAGTCTGGTCTTACAATCAGCTGGGAAATAGCAGCTGTGTTGTACCACGCCTAAATGGAGGGCTTATTAGAGATCAATCTATCCACCCCTAAACCTTATCGCCACTTACCTTGATTAAGTCTTGCCGCAGGGCCCCGATGAGA